CCCTTAATTCTCATATATTAAATAATTTATTTACAGGAAAAAAAAAAAAGGAGGAACAAAAGAGAAATGAAACAGACCATTCTCCTTGTGAATAACGTAAGGGTTTATACTTGTAACATAAGTATCTGATTTTTGTTGTTTATTTTTATCTACTTAAACATAGCCATTCACATTGAAGTAATTTTACAGTATATAAATGAACCTCACAATCCTTGTATTTTTGATACAATATGAAAATAGCTGCCAGATTTTTTACGCCCAATAAATAGATGTGCAAGACAACCATTTTCTGCCCAGGCTGAAGCCGACAGCCCGAGTCAAGCCATGCTTCACCTGAGGCGAATTCAGTCTCATAAGCAGGCATCTAGAGCTGACTGCTTCCACAACTGAAATGCTCTCTTCATATGATACTACAATCTAAAGCCTTGATTATATTTCGACGCCAGATTGCAGTCTCTGGGTCAAATCTCAGCTCCCATGCAGGCCAGTAGTGCAAATCCTGCTTCAACGTTAGAACTCGAGGCTTGCCATTCAGGTGCACTGTCCTTACACGAACAAACTCCCCATGTTCCAATTCCTGTTAATATATAGACCACATACAGGTTTAATTAACTGCGGATGGCCTAAAATAATAACAGCATTAAAAAAAATGTACTTCAAGAAGAATATTATGCCAAAGTTCAAGAAGCTTGAATAAAAGCTAAGAAGAGCATGACAGTATTTTTATTTTTATTTTTTTCATTTTTGGACACAGCAAGAACCTACTGCAGAGACATTCACACCCCAACTCAACTGAGCCCTTGTATAAAACAGCAAAATGCATGTGATAGCTGAGAGTCGAAGAGAGTAGAACTTCACACTTCAAACTCAAGGGAAGAGAGTAGGCATTACCTTTGTCACATTCACAAAGGCGTCTATATCAGGAGTTGGTTTTCCATTGACTTCAACTATCCATTGAAGAGCATATAATCCGTATCTGTGAACAGGACTACCATGACACCACCTGAGAAACAAAAGGAAAGAATTTTATTCCAACCACCAGCATGCAACCCTACGTTAATGAATGAAGAGTTTTTTTCTCCTTTTTTTTTATTTTTCTCTTTATTTTCTTTACAAGAGTCGTGACACATTTTTTCCCCTTCTCTTTATTTCTTTCAATAAGAAGTTAAAACTTTGGACCTCCTGATTTTGATTATTCTCATTTTCCATAATCAATTTCTAATCATCAATTGATGATTGATAATGTTGCAGCATTGAAGTAAAACTTTAATTAACAAAGTTCATTCTGAAATTATTCAGAACAACTAGTTGTCATATAAAACATTTTTTATACAGCTTTACAAGTAAAAACTCATTCTAGATCACATAATATGGCCCTATACAGGTCACCATTATGACTACATACATGAACATGAAAACTTGATAACTTGAGAAAATTCTTACCTTGCGACATAAACACCATGACCTTCTTCTGGAAGAAAACCAAGGGCTCGAACAGCTGGATGAGGATCCTGAACAATACATCCACACCAATTAATTGCACGTGATGTCCCATTCCCATCTCTAACATCAGTCCCAACAAGAAGATCCATTTCACACCCCTGGCAGACCACATACATCAGAATGATGAAAAAATCACACATTTGAGACACAACTCCTTTCATCAAATTTAACAATAATAAAGTCGAAAACAGAATAAACAATCTAAGTCTATATCTGCTTCCTTACATGCCGAAAAATGGTCAAGTTTAATTTCCCATCATTGTCATCACTGTCCAATTCTTGACAAACATTTTCTATGTCTCGGAAGCAAGTAACTGGCTCTTTATTAACAGCCAATACCATGTCACCTTGTTCTAATAGATTTTCAGCTTTTGATCCAGCCAAACAACCTTTGACACGTAAAACCTGCCGCCTAATTGGGTCTTTCTTGACAAGAGCCTGTAGAAAACAATAAATAAAAATTAAATGTCTTGGTATGCAGATTAAATGCCTATAAATGACCATGAATGAGTCATATTCTGAGAAAAGCTAAAGAAAATCAGCATTCTAAATACATAATAGGGACATATTTTTCATAATTCAAGCATAAGTTCATCAAAGAAGAGAATCTTCCTCAGAGACATTGCATATAGATCTTTGACAACCAATTCCAAAAATGCCAGTATAAATTATTTGGATAGAATTAGGTCTTCAATGCATCTTGCCAACTGTAATTCCCAAGAAGAAGAAAATGAACCCAACAACCACATAACTAATCATGGCCCCAAACGGCAGCATTGTGGTTCAATTATTGACAAAGAGAAACCATAAGCTACCCTCAGGAATTAGATTTAACATCAAGCCACAATAGGTTCCAAAAACTCTCTAAGCTTTCTCATATTGAATCACTATAAGTATGTTAATGAACTGAACATCCTTCAAATTCTAGAAAATCTTGAAAAGGTTAAACACAAGATTTAAATGTTAGCCACCACACCATCAATATCATGAATACCTTCTCGGAAATGGGAAAACATGAAATGTATTAAACAACCACCTCTCTAGCACATCTATACCAGCATTGTTTATTGTGAGAACAATTAAAATGTTGATTTTTGAATCAGGAAGAGAGCATACTTGGATCCAATCATCACTCAACCCAAAACTCCGGGCCTTTGAAAGCAATGTAGGATAAAGTTCAACCTCTAAGATTCTAACTAGTGGCATTGACCTTTTGACTCCATTTATGAGAAGGGGGGTCCCATCAGCACCAGAAACGATTTTGTCAAGAACTTTGCTTATCGTATAGATTGGGATACCTCTAACAAACTGATGATCTTCTGATGAATTGCAACCAAATTTCAACTGCAACAAGGATCACAATCTTCAGAATTCAGGCATCAGAATGCATGGCCAAATATAAGACACCATAAAACAAATTAGGAGTGGAAACCTGTGTTGAAAAGCTTCCCCAGATAGCTTGAACTCTTCCTTGCTCATCTGTAAGTACACCAGAGAATGTACTACCAAAATCTGCAGAAGACAAGCATGAACTGAGTCATTTTGTCGACATCACATAGATCTACCTAAGTAATGCTGTAATGGCAAACTAAAATACCAGTATCAAGCTCAATGACTTCCATATTTGTTGCTCTGTACCGTGGACAATCAGCTGAGCCAATATTAAGAGCAGCACATGGATTGGTCACAATTGATTTTCTAGATGTTGCTTGTAAGCTTCTACTTAATCCCACCAGATACACTGAATCTCCACGACGCAATGCAGGATCTGTCTCAAAAAGAAAAAAGCTGTGAATCCTTAAAAAACTTATTTTTAGCATTTACAGAGAAAAATTATGTTGGTACCTAGGGGACAGCCCAACTGTAAAAGCTTTAGAAATCCACACTGGATGTCTCAAGTTAAAACTTTTGGGAAGGCAAGGAAGGCCTTGGGTGAGGAGAAGGGTCTAACCCCGGTTCTATTTGCAACTCAAATGCACAATAAAAATATGGAAACAATCACAATGGGGATATCAGTATCAATCCCATGGTCCAATAAGACTACTTCTCTTTCATTCACCATGGAGCTAATACAGATAAACTTCCAACATGAAAAAGGAATTCCAAAAACCAACTGGTGAGGTATGCCTCAAAAAAACTGAGCATTGAAGTTAGACATCTTTCTAGACTTTCCTAACCAAAATTTAAACATCAGAAGCAGATATTTAGAAGAACTATCAAAACCTATTATGAAACAGTATTCTGTGAAGGTTAAAATAATTCCAAGATAAATCAAATACGAGATGCAAAAGTAAAACCTACCAGGAAGTAGCTCAGCAGCACGAACCATAGAGGCACCAACAGGTCCCAAAGCTGTTGGGTCATATGCAACAAGAGCATAATTGTGAACAGGGTGGAGAAAAACTACCTGCAGTAAGAAATAGGTAGCTTAATCAACTGCACTGTTGGCAACTGAAATTCAACAAACTATACCCTGGCCAAAAAAACAAATCAACAAACTAGGCTGAAATTTAAATTGTGTTTACATGGAAACAGCGTACCTCTCCAGGAATTTCAATGGGAAAAGCAGCAAAGGACAACATCACATCAGATGCAGATATTGCAACTGTGTTCTTGTCAACCGCTACTAATCCCATATTTTGAGAATGGTATATAATGACACCAGTCCCAAAAAAATGTTGTGAATGGACTCCGTCAAGCATGCATGAAGGTGGCACATGAACCTGAAAGGATGAAGATCAGCAAAGGTCCCTTGACATGTAAGTTGAAAAGAAGAAACAGTAAGCTGCCAAGAATAAAAAAAAAAACTACGGGGAAGCAAAATGTTAGTCTTAAGTTCATAATCATATATAAATTATAAAAATAAAATAAAATAAAACCTAAGGTCCTAAAAACAAATCATTTGGTTAAATAAAATGGCCTGCGGGTGGGATCATTCTAATGAACCATTTAAAAAAATTTAAGTAACATTCCAATTTACTTATCTCAAACATGATCCTAATTATCATAATAGTTCTCTCCTCCTGAGTGTAACTATCATCGTCATCTTAAAAAATGCAACAATGCAACCAAAATATAAAAGAATTAAGAGGTTTTCATAGAGATTGAGATGCAAATGATAGAGCAGCTGAAGCATATCATCAAAACATGATTATTCAATAATAGCATGCTATAATTTTCAATTGTAATATGCTATATCAATTAATATTGTGTTATAAAGACAATATTAACCCAAGGAAACAACAAATGCCACAACAAGCCTCACAAAGCTAACTAGAAAGTAACTAAAATGACAAACAGTTTTATTACCTCAAACATCACGAGAGTAGGCTCTATCACACGTTCTGCAACTGAAGCATTGGCTGCTGCAACCGTTGCTCCCTGATAGTCTTTCAAAATGGCATTTACAATGGGATTTGGGACACTTGGCTTATCTTCCCCAGTTTCATGTAAGGAAGAGTCAGCAGCAACACCATCAGAAGATAAATCATCTTCTATTCGTCTTTTCTTTGATCCAATACCAGACTCTGCAGAAGAATTGTCAAAACTGGTATCCATACTAGCAACTCCATTAGTCAACTCTTGGTTATTGCCTTGATGAATATGTTTCACATGAGTAGCCTCACCATTAATACCAGATGATAGCAGCAACGGCTTAGATTCAAAGGCAGGTTTTGCCGTCCATAGACCTGAACTGTCATCACGAGTATATATCTGGGGAGGGGAGTACCATTCATGGCGATCAACAGTCACCAAGACTGACTGCAGCCATCAACAGTATCAGCAAGATCAAATAAAATACTAATAGCATAGATAATCGAAACAGGAAAGATGCACATGGAAAGATTGAGACAAGTAACAGGCACTAACACCAAAGAGAACAAGGATGATTGTATATTCCTTTTAGAAAATTTTGAACAATAAGTTTTCAAAAATTCTATCTTTTAATATCTATCCTGAAGCATAAAACATTTAAAAGAAACAGTAGTGCAGAGAAACATGAATATAAGGAAAAGTTTCAAAAAAAAAAAAATAAAAGGTAAAAACAAGCATGATAGCTTAGAGATGGTCCCGTTTTCAACTAATGAGGCTTTCTATGATCAATCATGAAGTACCTTCCTCCGATGACGATCTGTGTAGCTTATATATTCTAAAGGCACTCGAGCACCCCTAGACAACTTTGATAAAACAGAGACTAGATCTTCAAGTTTTGATATCTCTTCACCAGCAAACTTCTTAATAATGGCATGTCGAGGAACTCCGGCTCTAAATAGCATATATCTACAGTTGATGAAATCTAACAGTTAAATAAAGCAAATTTAAATAATGTTTGAACTCAAGGAACCAAGTCATGATATTTCTTTTTTACAAATAATAATAGTAATAATAATAGCAATGGTAATAATAAAAGCAATAGTAATAGTAATAGTTTAGTAATAAAGAAATATGCAAAGATGTATAAATTCACTCAATTACAGAATCAAAATTTCAAACTAGATCAACTAGACTTACCCAGGTTCTGAGACATATACAAGACCACAATGGAAGCGGAAATTTCTTGCCTGTTTCAAACAAAAGTTACAAAACTTATATAGGTTAAATTGTTCATGACAACAGTCAAACCATTAAAAGTCGTAACCATTAAAGATATAGATGTAATGTAAGAACAATAAAACATGAGCTTATTTTTGGTACAACATCTGAAGAATCTTAGAAAAATAGGAGGGAAAGTTTCTAGCTGCTAGGATAAAGATGCAATAAAGCTGCAAGCCACTACCCACCTGCTGGTAGGACAGAGGGTGTATCACCGCACCACTTACTTCTAAGAAGTAATCAGGAGTTATTGAGTGCAGATCTTGAACCTGAAGCATAAATATGGAAACTTATAAGGTTTTGTGTTGAACCATGTGAATGGAGCAAGATTTCCAACAAACACAATGTTAAGGAAAAATTATTGGATTGGCTTTGGCTACAACCAAGATTTAGTTATTTATGCCCAACATTTCTTTATTCCTCTATAGCAACAAGCAATTGTGGCTGAGCTCCACATAAAATGGATGTAATGTTTGAAATGACATGAATACAAACAAAAATCCTTACCACTAAGTTTATGTTCAGTTGTACACCACCTCTTTCAGTCTGTAACTCAATCTGCTGGTCAACACTTTCATCAAGTAAGGTTTCTAATCTTAGAAATTGAGTAATTACCTGCCAAAGATTTTCAATAACAAATGTTAAAAGTCAATAGTGCAAGAAAGACTTAAAATTTCCCACCAGGGAAAAATAATAATAATAAAATTTTACAAGATGAATATTGCTTTATCAACATTAAGTCTAGAATGTCAGTCTATGTTACTTGAAGAAATAGTGTCTCAGACTCTCAACTAATGCTGTTCAATCAAAAATAAAGTCTCCAGTCTATATATTCCTTTGAAAGATTCTATTTGGACAAAACAAATATAAAGATTAAAAAGACACTGCATTCACAGACAAAAATTAACTATTCACCATAAAATCATCAAAAACAAAAGCACGCAAAGATGAGAAATTAAAGCCATGTTTGATTATTAGATATCTTCCAAATGCCCTTAAAAACCATACATGATACATTTGATCCACATGAGAATAAAGAAGAACAAACTTAAAAGATCATAGATAAACCCAGAAGAAAAGACAATATATTTAAATTAGGTATTCATAGAATTAGCAAATTTAACTCCATTTAAGAAGATTCTCTAATAATCTACTCAATTCTATTCAAGAAGATTTTCATTTTTAAGTTCTAGTGCCCTAGTTCACCTCCAACAAGTTGTGAAGGCAGAGAGAAAATTCACTTCATTTAATGAGTTACATTGTCGCAGGGAAGTAAGTGAGGAAACAAAACAAATCTACAGGATCCAACAAATTTTATACAAGACAAAAACTGTTTTTCTTGAGTGACTCAAGGCATTACTTACCTCCCCATTCACACGAACTAGAACATCACCTGGCTCCAAGTGGCTATGAGCTGGACCACCTGGTACCTAAAACATGTCCATTTTGTGGGAATTGATAAAATAAGCATAATATTGAAAACAAATCCAGAAAAAGAGTAAACTTAAAAGCAAAAGTCAGAACAAAGTAACTAAATCTTACTCACCACAGAGTCAACCACAAGCATTCCAGTTTCACCTAGTATAGATGCATGCCGTGCTATCTAAGCCAGATAAAATAGAATGGTAAGCCATTAAGGAACAACTATTCTGAATCAAAAATTATCTATGGGACATAAAGAACATGGTACCTGCTCTGTTTCACTTCGAAGACCAAGCCGACGTATCTCATCAAACCCTTTGTGGAGAAATGTCACCTATATCCAAAGTAATAAGAAAAATAGTACCATAATAAATCCTCTAATGTACAGGAAAAAAGTTATCAATGTGAAAACCTATTGACTCAGTGAAGCCAATGATCAGTTCTACGGTGTATGAGGATGCAAACCCATCATGGCACATGGGTGATGTTTGATTGGTGTTTTCTACCAACTAGCAAGTTGCTGTATATCAAACTTTTTTTTTTTTTTTTTTTTTTTTTTTGGAGGGGAGATACATTTTTCTGCTTTTAAGGATAAAATTAAAATTCCAATGGACATTGTGATATCTTAATTCGGATACTAAACTAAACTATTCCACAATAGGTGTTGCTTGGACATCCCATTTTCCCAGGGAAAGACCAGAAGTCAGAAATTCAGGAATTTTCTGGAACTATCAACAGAAGAACAGGTAAAACAACACTTATTTCAATATACCTAACCAATTTAACAACAGGAACTATTAATATGGAAAATGGAAGGGGCAAAAAAAACAGTAGTATCACAAGGTTAATATCAACAACAAACCTGAAGCGTACCACGAGGTATGGCAACTGCTTCCCATTTACTTAAGTAAGAATCTCTTCCATTCTGCAGAAATTTCAATGCCCTTACTACCTGCAAATCAAATTAACAATGTTTCAATACCTGGCTTTTTACAGAAAACTAGCATTCAACCACAAAAACAAGCTTCCATATAAATTAGCACATATATTAAAAGGATTCAACAAACCAACTTTCAGAAACATGCATATGCAAGTTTTAAGGACTTTAGAGAATACTTTAGCTGAGAGAGAGGACAAGTATCCAGACCATTAAATTGTTCAGCAAAATGGAATGTGCCAGTTAACTTGATTACATATGTGGGCAGAACAATAAAGAGTTCTGAAGACAGAATCTACAGGCAACCACTTTTACACTTTTGTAGATTACATTTATTTAGCCAAAATGCACAATGTTGAGATGTTTATTGCAAAAGCAAGATGTTCTTTAAGATGATATTACAAGTTTATATTCTAAATTCTCATTCTAGTTTAAGAATTTCACATAAAAGAATTGAATAAAAGACAAATTAAATAATTTATACTCAACCCTCTCAAGAGGCAAGAAAAATGCCGATGCACTAGTTGTCTTGCTACCAGCATTCAAAGCCACTGCCCTGCCTTGCCAATCAATCACTGGTGAGCCACTTGAACCACCTTTGGTTCCAGATGCTGCCTGCATATTAAGCATAAGTGAAAAGCATTACAATTAAAGCAAGCAAATAGCCTGATGGGATATCTCAGAGGCAGATAATAATAGAACGATGAAAACTCAATGCACTCATGGAAGAACCCTTAAAGAAATTATGTACTACATCCAAAGTGCTTCAGAAAAAAAGTTACTGAT